AGAAATGCCTGAAACAAAGATGAAGGGTGGGATGAGAGAAAGAGAGAGAGAGAGAGAGAGGGACAGATGGAGAGAGCACCAGAGCCAACAGCAGAGCTAAGTGGGTAGTGTGCTCCCCAGACAGTGTTCCATATGGCCTGGCAACGCCATACACAGACAGGCCGCACAAGCGCACATATACACAGCATGTATACACACAGGCACACAGCATGTATACACACACGCAGATACACAAACACTCCTCCATACCAACAATCAAAATTTGCACACATAGTGCATATTCACACGCGGCCATGTACCCACACATACTGTTTTACAGAGCAGGGTCTGAGGGAAATTACATCCTTTTATGACATTTGTTAAAATATCAAAACATTGTTGTGGATTTGTAATGTGAAGTGGCCAGTGGTGGTTGCGGCTCATGAGACTCATCTGTCAGGGGTGATGTTGAAGAGGATCCCTTTGTTCAAATCATATATGATCACCTGAGTGCTCACTGTCCTGGCTCAGATCAGACAACCAAGTTCTTGTAAACCGGAACTGTCCTTAAAAGACTCTTTGAATAGACAAACACATGGATTATTTGTTGTGTGTTGTAAAAACGTGGCGGGCGGAGCGGCAGGCAGGTGGGGGCTGAACACCTGAAGAACTGTTAGTGATCTGTGGCTATAGCTAACGAATGCTAACATCCACTGTAGCCAAAATGCGTGCATTTAGCGAATGCTGACATTTGGGTTGGTCGGCTGCACCTGGTGTAACAAGTGGTCGACCTTTGATCAATAGTGAAAATACTTCCATCATGTTTATTGATGATATATTGTGTCGATATAAAACTTGGTGAGATTACTTTAGCTTATGTATCAGTAATTGTTAAACATACACAGCACATTTTAAGAATACTACAGTAAAACTGATTACCGTGATAATTTTGGTCCCTATAATCGTGTTACTAAATGTTCCCACTGTTTGATCTCTGGTAGAATCAGTAGGCCTTAAAGCAAATGCCTAGGAATGTATTTTCATTTGACAACTGTATGGGAAAAACCCAGTCATAAAAAATTCAAAACATACTGTATGAGGCCTGCCCTGCGTCTTACCCAGTAGAGACAAAACTCTCTCAAACATGCAGAAATGCATGAGTGTGTCAAGTCCCTACCCCATCCCTGCTGGAGCAGAGACACATGGGAAGAGCAGGATAGCAGCCAATCCCTAAAGGAAGTGAGGAAATGACTCCTCGCCAATCCCAGGGCTCACCGAGGTTACTACAGGGCTGCTGGGCCATCGCCATGGTACCCTGCTATCAAGGGACACCTGGCCAATCACATTCGGTGATGTGAAGTGTAAACATGTTACACTGCAGTGCAGCCATGTTGCCATTACTGAGGCATGGGGTGGAGCCACATATCCTACATATGTAAAAAGTCGATGCACCAGATATGACCAAAGGAGGTGAAGTAGTAACTGAAAACAAGTAAATGAATCCATTCTCAAATCTCACAGGTTGTAATTAATGAGAGCATCTTTACTTGTCACTCACATGTTACATAATCTTTGTCAGGAAAGACTAGTGTTTAGGATTAAAAGAGCAAAACTCCATGCAGCACTGCAAAGCAAATACAGATGACTGATAAACATTACATGGACTTAAACCCAATTCATGCTCCTGTGTCGGAGCAGCGCCGTAGCCTACACGCAGACGCGTATCCTACACAGAGCAATACACTCGTCAACATCTATCAGCTCCAACTACAACACAATCCGCATAATAACACTCGTCATTGTTCTGAAATAAACAGAGACGCCAGAGAATATGTAAATAAGCAAGTGAGACTCACACACACCTACACACAACTATGAATGTGCTGCCCCGTGCAGATAGGCTACGTGCCTACATACAGCGCAACTACAGCATCAATTGGGCTTTAGGCTTTTCCACATTGCCAGCCCCGGCTACCAGGGTACAACGTAACATGGATAATCAATTACAAGCATTGCTGACCCTGTTGTCTTCGCTAACAGCTGCTGTGCACTTCAGTTCTGCATTTTTACAATGATACAACCATTTACATGTGTAGGAGACATAAGAGCTGTTAATCGAGCAATCTTGCTTCATTCTGCAACTACCAACCTAATGCTTCCTGAGTACACCAACAGGTCCATGCCCAGTGTACGTGGGTGGGTGGTCACATGATATGTGTTTTCAGGTGTGTCAGGATGGACAGGGATTAAAATTTATACAGAGCCAAAAAAAACAGACAGAGATTAGAGTGGTGCAGATGTAAGATGAGTGTGTGTCAATGATTTCAATGTCATCCATGTCAACAGGGGTTAAGTATGAAATTGCAATAGAGTGGGATTTGCTAATGGTACAAACACAAGCAAAGATATTGACCAAACAAGATTTTTTCTTTTAATTTATTGGTAGCAATAGGCTGACAAATATAAATACATTATATATACGCAATTCAGGGAGTTACCAACCGTGCACATAGCCTATGCCAAGTAGCATGTATAATGTTTTAGGACGCATCTTAACTAATGTCTTTAACCATGTTGGGGGTAGTAGGTACCTTGAACATGCTACAGTACAGACACTGGACAGTTCTTGCAGTGTTCTACTGCACATGTGCACAGCTGAGCTCACATTGACTCCAGGAACACAAGTCCAGTTTAGTTAAGTGAACATAGTATTATAAGAAAAGAGCAAGTATATTATTCACATTACATGAGTTGAACCAACTTGATAGTGAAAAATAAGTAAAGAACACTAATATATATATATGCAATTATGCTCTATTACCTTTAACAAAACTGTCATCCAGAATGCAACCAAACACTGGCTCTAATAATTTACAAAAAATAAATGTTTTATTTGTATAGTCCAATATCACAAGTTAGAACTGTCTTGTTTTGCTGTGGTTTGGACTAGACATGGTTGTATCTCTGACCCAGTTCTGTGGCCTGTGCAGGAGCAACACTTACTGTTATGTCTGGTGAATAATGTGGGGAGTACTGACCAGAGAGGGACAGATTGTATAATGTTATAAACAGGGGCCATATTGTGGGATTCCTCGGAGAGTCAGATGTGCTCCAGCTGACTTACTCTGTAATCCCACCTCACATTCTGATCCAACACACACACACACGCACAACACACAAACACACACGTACACAGACGTACACACAGATACAGCTAAAACCAAGCGTTATCCTTTGATCATTGTGTGGCTGAAAAAAAAGACATTGCAGGCCACAGGAGTCACAGTGAACAGAAATGAATGAAACCAGCATTGCAACGCATAAATAAGCCGGTGGCATGGAGCTGCTCATATAACATCAAGGAGTAAAAATGACAGTTCATTTCAAGTAATGTTGGCAATTCAAGTCTCTATTAACGACCACTGATCAAATAACCAGACATTACACTCTCTCTCACACATACACACACTGTGGTAAAGGAAAGATGATGACTGAGCAGAGCCATTATAAGGAATCACTCTTGGCCAACCCATCAAGCATCCAATCTCCACTAATTGGAGATGAGATGAAAAGCATTATCCCAGAGAAAGCTAATGTCTAACCACCTGCATTCTCTCTAGGACGTTAGTTAGCAAGCTGGCAATGATTGGAAGGTTTAGAGGAACTAAGAAGCAAAGATATTTTCCCTCTTGTAAATTGACATTTAAAGTTTACTTTTAACAATAACCTCACAGCAGTCACTTTAATGATATAATGATGATATAGAGTTATCGTAAGGTCGCCAAGAAAGGACGGTTTTAATGCTTTTTATGTCAAACAGTATCTTGTAACAAAGTCTTCAGCCATGTGGGAGATGCAGCCGAAACAAGACTCAGAGTTATAACATCTGTAATCCAGCACAATGTGAGGAAAATCTGTGATAGTATTGCTCAGTATTACGATGACGATAAATTAGTGGGCCTATTGTTAATAGTTTTACAACATAGTTCTTAGTTTTGTCAGAGTGTTTGCCTGAAGAAGTCTTAGTTTAGTAAAATGTGGAGAAAAAGATGGTGGGATTGAATAACTTTTCCAGTTAGCAAAACATTTAGCTAACTTTCACTGTGGCTGAATCATTGCCACCATGCTCTTTGACTAACCACAAGCTTCCAGCACCACCTATCTCACAAGGATCTGCTGACAAACATCACTGTGCATCACATCGTTCAGACCGTTCAATGCATGTGCACAAAACCCAGTTACTAAGTCTTCTGGGCAAATAAAACTGGTTGCTGATTTGCATTTCTAATAATAAATCCCAGTGCTCATGTATCTCTCATCTCTTTTTCAAAGCTCATGTGAGATTCCAGATATCAAGGAGAAGTTGAAGTGAAACATGTCAAACACAAACACACACACACACACACACACACACACACACACACATTCCTCCAGACAGGCAGCTGAGCAAACTTTGAGACCAACAGAGCATCTGAGAGCAGCCATGGAGGAGGAGGACCACAATATCAGCTTGTCTCCAATGACTTAACAGGATCTGGACCAGACTTGTCAGACTCAGCCTGTCCGTCTTTACCTTAGACACCGGTAGCATTGACGGATCAGAGACTGAAGCTGGGCTTTGTGTTTGGCTTTAAAAGGACACACAGTCACTCAGAAAGTAAAGAAGGCCTACGGAAATGTTTTCATTTTCAGCGACACCACATGAAGCATATTTCCAACAATCAAAATTGAGGTGTCTGTCCAGCACCATCCCACTTAGAGTATCACACAAATTGCATAATCATGCCTTGAGTCACCCTTGAAAAACACCAGAATGCAGGTTTATCTTTTATACTGTGACTCATCCAAGGTGCGAAAAAGATTTCACAACAAAGCATGAATGTGTGGCTGCATGTCACCGAGAGGTTGTTTTGGGCCACAGGGGTGAAGTGACGTTAAAGTGACGCAAAAAAAAATATCCAGCCCGTTTCAAACTCGTTTTTTAGTCCAGTTCGTGGTGGAATAATGTTGTTGCCACTCACCGGACATCATTTTGCTGTGGAGGTTTCTTCTGCCCGACCAGGTTCACCGTTCTTGCTTGGATAGGCTTCTCTTCTCTGAAAGACACAAAGTTAAAAACTACCGTTAGCACAAACAGGTCAAGAACAAGTTTTTTGTTCCATTTGGTTCATTTATATACTTTTATATTCCCCTTTTACGATGAACAATTAACTGCAAGAGGTTGGATTGCAGTTATAAACGACATAAATACACCTCACCTCATCCTCCACTCGCAAGCATTTAGGAGAACCTATGGTGGCCTTCAGCTAACATTAAAGCTCTAATGACCCTCTTTAGAGACGGTGTTCAATTTGTCCATTCTGGGCTACTGTAGAAACATGGCAGTGCAACATGGCAGCTCTGTGGAAGACAAATCTGCTACCCAAAAAAATAAATCAGGCTCATTCTATCGTAAGAAAAACAGTCTCGGGTGTTTTTACACTATTGAAATGTAATGATGAATATTACATTCCTTTTCTGCCAATATATCCTACACACTGGACCTTTAAAGGTTGGATAAGCATATTATTTAATACACTTTTTGTCAAATTCTGCTATCTCCTCTGGTTTAAATACATAGCTCTGGCTCTGTATTTGGCAAAGAAAGAAAGCTGGAAGACCCAAACACCACAAAAATGTTCCTGCCAATCAGCAACAAGGATATTCATGCTGGTGCACAGGACAGGGTGGTGGTGATTGTAGCTAACATTACGCTAAACCTCTTTCTTAGAGCAATTGTTAATGAACCATGGAAACATCACCTGTTAGACCTCAAAACAAGATGATGTCCTCATTCATCTGCCGTCTAAGATTAAGGGATGGGTGGACTGACAGAAAAGAGGTCTCAGATAACATACACCTCCTCTACTACTTCTGAAAGGAACAACAACTGTTAACCACTGGAAATGATACTTTCTCACTAGCACACTGGCTGATTCTGGTTGGTGAATGTGTAGTTTGTGTAAATACTGACAATGTATTTTGTTTACAGATGTTTTTGGCAGCTAATTCCAATCTATTGAGATCAATGGTTCGGTGGGGGCAGCTGTGGCTGAGGGGGTAGAGCGGTCTTCCCCATCTGCATGCTGAAGTGTCCTTGGGCAAGATACTGAACCCTGAATTGCCCCTCATAGAAAAAGTCCAATAGATGCACTGGATGAATGTGTGGGTGAATGTCAATAAACTGAAATGTAAAGCGCTTTGAGAGTTCATGAAGATAGAAAAGCTCTATATAAATACAGACCATTACCTGCACAAAGCACATGCATGAATGTGGAGGGTGCAGCTTCTAAAGGAGCAATGATGGGAGGGGTGTATTTGTCTTCAAATAACAATTCCCGTAACTTTCACATAAGTGTCATCAAGGATTTGCCTGAACTGAAAATATAAGTATATAATATAAAATAATATATATATATATATATATATATAGGAGCATATGGATTTCAACTGCCTTCTTGTCCACTAGTTAGTTCAGCTAACCCTATAAACATAACCCTAACCCTAACTCTAATGAGTTGTAAGAGAGTTCAAATTTAAAGGCGTATGGCTAATTAGTGTCACCCAACACTGCAGCCACACAACCAAACAAAAAAAGGTGCTAATTCTTAAAATACAAACTGAACCGACATGTCCACTTTTATATAGGGATACCTTTAGGCACCGATGACAGGCCTTAGACAACACTGACATGCTTTCAATATGTCCACAGACCCCCTCAGGGTGCGCTTCAAAACCGTCTCATCCATAAAAATGAACAGTGAGCTCTGATCAGCCTGATCACAGAGGGAACTCCAGAGAGAAATCCCCGCCAACGCCCACGCAGTCTCAAACAGAACATGTATTTTTTATCGTCAATACTGGTGATACCCCTCTTGTTAAGAGACACTGTTGGCACAGTATGGTGATATCTCTTTGTTCCTCAAGGATACTCAAGATTTCCTGCTGTACTGACAGTGGTGACTGACTGTGTGTTCTCCTCGCATGTGTTTCAGTGTTTCACTATTGTAACATCTTAATGCAGTATAAGTACAAATTGATCTGAATAGCATGTCCTGTGTAAATATGAGTTAATTGGTTAACTTTAATGTAAAGGATCACACTATTTAAACAACTTTTATAGGGTTTGCTAACAGTTTTAATATTGTAAAAAAATGAATGGAGGAAGCCAACAGACACGGGACGTGATTGGTAAAAATACATTCCAATACATATTGGTAACAGCATCAACACAGGCTTCATTAAAATGATCCACACTGAATTTCCAATAAAAGAAATGTCAATGTAATTATTACATTTCTGTGTTTCCTGACAGGCTGTTGATTCATTTTGTATTGTTCCTTGTCCTCATGTTATCTCACATAAAATGATCCCATTCAGTTTCACACAGGGAAGACAGCACTGGTATTGGATTTGTAGTAGGCAGGTTCCCTATGTTGAGGAACAGTTTCAGGGATGAAAAAACTTGGATCGTCGTATCGGTTGTAGTGAATGAGCTAATACACGCAACAACTTAATTTGGTCTTCACGGTTCTTTAAAGTTAGATTTAACTGAGAGATTCCAGTCTTGAATATAATGTAAGAAAAGTGTAACTTGAGGATGGTGTGTCTGAGATATTTTACAGCTCTCACTCACACACATCTGATATCTTGTTTTCCAAGATTGATATGAGTAAATCTCTGGCATCGCTTGAACTTTAAAATACGACACTCCTTACATTTTTCTGCAACATATCTACAGTACGTATAGCACATCTGGCTTTCGAGCTCAGAACAAATATTGCAAGCGTACTTACAAACACACAATTCACATTATTACATTTTTGTTTGAAAGTGAGTCAACTCTCCTACGAATACACCTGACATCCACACTAATGCAGAGTTTTACAACCATTTAATAGTTTGGGAATGCTGCTGGTCCCGTTTTAGCTTGAAAACTCTGGACGATCTTTAGGAACGATGGCATAGACGCACACACCCACATGCTGATGGTCTGTTCAGTGTTTCATGTGTAGGAGACAAGCTACTATTCGAGCAGTTCCTATGACACCAGCACACGCATGCCCAATGTGCATGAGCAAGATATTGGGTAGTTATTCGGCCCGAGGCGTAACCAAGGTGTTTGTGTGGACAGAGTTATGTGGATTTGGTCTTAGGTTTTCCCAGTGGTTACATATACATGTTATAGGTGTTCCCTGTGCATTCATTTTAAACCTGAGACAAATTTTTTATGTTTCTATCTTCAAGGTGCACTCACACATACAGTAGTAGCTCTCTGTGAAATTAAAATACACATCATCACCTCCACGTCATTCAACTACACCTGCAGAGAGTAAGGCTACATACATGTTGTCATTCGTTATGTTTTCCACAGACATGTAGGTTGAAGTGATTGCAACGAGATGCAAGAGTTCACTTCCCCTGGGCCTCTGGTTTCGGTGCAATATGGACGACTCTCCTACTGGTTAAGAGAATCATTTTGTGTACGTTTGCTTTGCGGGAAATTGTTATGGCTCAACTGAATTTGTATGGTTGAGGTACAGTGAGGGGATGCTCATCACTGCTTGTGGATACTTTGTTATATTGCTATAAGGAGAAGCGTCACACAGTAATATGTTTTTCCATTTATAATATGAAATTAAGGCTGTGTACAGGACTGAGGCTGAGGTTAACTATCATCGACTGCTTGTCAATATTTCTTTTGTGTGAATGAAACACATTCTTATCATGTAACAGTTTACCTGATGATAATAACTGACGAGAAGCCATTGTGTATCTACACTTACATCACGTCACAGCTATGGCTATACACCCGCAGGGAGGTATACTGTACATATGTTCAATATTAGGAAACTGATGGCGAGTATATATCTTAAACTGCTCATGAGACGAGAGTATTCTCTACCTCGCTGCATTACAACCCACACTACTCTACTGCAAGTACACTCACCATGCATTAGTCAACCAGTGCAGCTTTTCAGTGCAGACCCAATCGTAAAGACACACACGTACACACACATGCATGCACACAGGTTTGCTGTGGCAGTCTCCATCCAAACAGTGATGAGAGGAAACGGTGCTGAAGCCACTATATGTTAGGACATATATGTGCTGACATCCTGCCTCAGCTGCAGACGCTACTGCATGACACGACTGAATCCACAGCCTCTATCTAATACATTACTGAAAATGATGCACAGCCACTTAGAGCTGGAGTTATATATATTGGACATTTCCTTCTTTAGATGCAATGAATCGATATTCCGTTCCAGTGCTGGGCTATCAGTCCGTGCAGAGTGCTTAAAATAGAACAGGGACGTAAAGCTCGAAGAGTGCCTTGCTTAGGTGGGTCGCGCTATCTTTCTTGCTGCCAATCTATGCACGCAGCTCCATGCAGGCCAGGCAAATACGTGAGAGAGGCATTCGTTTCAAGTTTGTGCTTTTTTCTGGTCGTGGAGGGGAGCAGGTTGGACGTGGGCTGGTTCCCGTTGCCGATCGCAGCGACAAATAAATCTGGTTGGGGACACGTTTCTCCATGCATGTACGGTGGTGATATGGAGGAGGCAGGGGTGGATGCACACAGTGAATCTAAGTCACTCTTGATTCAAATTGACATTACACAGGCACCTTTTTTCTACCCTGTTATAGGCCCACTGGTTCTATAACCGCCTGTGAGATGTCTGTTGCAGGAGCATTGGCCTACATACAGTGCATAAGGCTGGGGAAGGCTCAACCGCACCCCTGAGCTGCAAACAGCAGCTGTTGAGATGGGTGCTGCACAGATGAAAGCCAACAGGGAGGGCTTTACTTTTACTATTCTCAAAGCCAGGCGTCAGCGAAGCCTCCTGCAGTTCTCCTGCTGCTGCATCTATCAATGAAATAATTCAGGCCAAGTCCAAACCCTCTCCGCTTGACTCATCGGTGTGAACGGTCGTGATGACATTATGGAGACGGGCTAAGATGAGGAAGTTGTTATTCTTCCATCTGAGTGGAGTGTGATGCTGCTTGATTATGGGGAATGGTGACACACCTTCATCCTCCCACAATCCTCCTCTTCCTCCCTCCTGAGCAGCTTAACCCTGACCCACCAGTCTCTCAGGAGCATGTGAGAATCTGCAAACTGGACGTGAGCCGGATCTAATTTGGCCCCATGCACAGAGGTGCTGCCTGTATGGGTTTGTGAGCGAGTGAGTTCTGAGTGGAGGGACCTGCAGGATGTACACATACACACACACACACACACACACACACACATGCATGATCAGGTACACTGGAGTAGAGAAGAAGTCCTGATGCTGAGACATTTGATCCATAGGAGAGATGGAGGTGAATGGACTTCAGGCCCAGTCTCTCGCTCTCTCTCTCTCTCACACACACACACACACACACACATTCATACACTCTCTCTCTTTCACAACACACACACACACATTCATACACTCTCTTTCTCCTCTCTCTCTCTATCTCTCCCTCTTACTTTAACATGGCCTCCTCCTTCGCCTCCTCCTCCCGTTGCCGAGCCAGCACAGCCATGATGATCTTCCTCTCATCCTCTGTCAGATGGCTCAGGTCCGGTTCCGGGATGGCCGGGGCGACGGGTGGGCGCGGGCCGCCCCGAGGGCCCACCGAGGCGAACATCTTCCCCACCACCTTCCTCTCCTCCCTCCCTCCTCCTCCTCCTCCTCCTCCTCCTCGCCTCGGTCGGGATCACGGATAGAAAACCCGCTGGCGGAGTCCACGGATCACGACATGGCCCACGGACACAGCGGCGGTTGGAGCGACTGATGCGGAGTTCCCATCGCGGTGGCGGGGGGCAGCCAGGGCGGCAGCGGCAGCGGCGAAGGCGGCGGCGGCGGCAGCAGTGTCGGTGCTGGCTGTGGTAGTAGTAGCAGTGATGGTGGTCCCGGTTGCCGTCTTTCAGCCTCTGCTTCTCCCTCTTGCTGCTCGGCTGTCTTCTCCCCCCACCCCCCTCCCACCGCCCGCCCGCCCGCCTCTGCCCTCCACCACCTCCGTTTTACGGGGAGCCCATGTCACCGGTAGGGATGCTGGCACACGGGAGGGGGATCTTGCTTGCTGTCCTCGGCCAGGCAGAGAGCGGAGGAGGGTCCCTAATGGCGGCTCGGGGCTCCGCTCGGTCCGGTGGGCTTGTCCGTGATGCTGCGGGGCGAGGCGGCGACTTCTTGTTGTGCAGCGCCGCCGCTGATGCTGATGCTGATGATGCTGATGCTGCTGATGCTGCCGCTGTCAGGGAGACGGAACCGTCAATGGGACCGCAGCCCCTCAAGCGCGCTCACTTCTCCTGCGGCGGGAGCGCGCAGCCCTCATTTGAGAATGGGGGGCTCCACTCGCCGTTGAGATGCGCGCTCACGCCAGCCTATAGCACACGCAAGAAATGATGGGTTTCTCAAAGGTGCATAGTGGGTCATCCCATACATAGACCATTTTAATTAGCTAATTAGATAAGTGATAGAAGTTTTATTGCTAAATGATAAGCCCCATAGATAGATAGACAGATGCATTGTTATTTATGATTGCATTATTAATAACTGGTAAATTTGTGTAAATTGTATATAATAAACATATCACATTATTCGGTATCACATTGGTCATAGAGTGATCCAAGTGCATTTTGCTGCTAATTTAAGATTTTTAAATTAGTTCATAGGAAGCATAATACTAGCATAATTGGTATATACTCCAACTAATAACTAGTAAATGCTCAACCTGCAAGAGTGTCAAACATGATAACAATTTAAATCCATCATAAAGTCCAAAAAATAAACTATGCCCACTGTATGACTAACTTGGATAACTTAATATCGCATGCAATCCTATAGAACCATTTTCTATGGATGAAACCCTTCACAGTAAGAGTGTGTGCACTCTCCTCCTCCCTCCCACCACTCATTGCGTTTTGCAATGACGCGCATCCCTCTTTTTTGTCCTCCCTCCCTCCATTGCTTCCTTCCTTCAGTCCGTCTTGCTTATATCCATCCTTCAAACACTTCCCACCACACACGCACACACACACGCACACACACACACACACACACACACACACACACACACACATTCTTGTAGTTCTGTCTCAGTGAGGACACTCACTGGTATAACGCATTAGCCCCTTACTCTAACCTTAACCATCACAACGAATTGCGTAACCCGTATCTAAATCTTATTCTAACCCTTACCATAATAAGTCTTGACACTCAAACATGCCTTTGAAAAAGTGAGGACCTGCCAAAATATCCTCAAGTTCCAAAAATACCCTGACTCTGTAGGGTCTATGCTCAAAATAGTCTTCACAGATATACAGGCACACAGACAAACAAGCACACAATATTTCTTAATAAAATAATACAATGTGCAGTGTGAAGGGTTGGTGTTTACCACAACGCTATGCAAATGCATGACTATAGGTTGACATTTATAGCATGTCAGTATACAACATTTTAATTATGGACTGTGTGGTCTAGGGGCTCCCAAACATTGGTATAGAGGTTCTAGGGGTATGAGTCACAGTGGCAAAATATAAATCAAACATACAGTACAATATTAAAGGCAAGGTCATATACTGAGTCACTATAGTCTAAATTTCTAAACAAATAATAAATTATATTCTTGGTCACAGACCCAGGTTTGGCAAAAACACAAACAAATATCTGAGCTGCCTATAATTATTAATTGTTAGCTATATGACTTTCACACTGGTAATTAGACTATACATCTTTTGGAACCCTCAAGTGCCCAAACTCAACACTGTTAACCAGCCGAGTCCTGGTCAGACAGTTTGACTTGACATAACTGACTTTGTATTTTAGCCCAGTAGCCATCAGCTCACTCACTGGGCAGCAGGCCTACTCACATTTACTGAACTGCAAGTGTAGCGTGGTGACTCATCATCATCATTGTTCCTGCTGTATGTCCCTGGTGCTCTTCATCCCTGTCCGTCTCCTGTCTCCTCTGTAGCTCGGCACATCTCCTACCCAATCCATCCTTACACCTGCTGTGGAAATGAAGCGCTTTAAAGCTCCTGTGCTTCTGTCGGAAGAGAGAAGTTTTGAGTGTGACTGCTGGATTTGTTGCCTCTCAGCCAGCAAACTCATCTTTTGTTGTTTCTGTGTTCTGATTTGAACACCTCATGTTATCAAATCCATTGTTATCTGCTAACACATCCAAGCCAACAAAAATATGTTGAATAACATTTCTGACATGCAACACACACCTGCTTGACAAGTTCAACAGTTCTGACTCATTTTACAGGAGGTTTCTATTGATGGCAGAGAAATGGTTGCAATTTGGAGACACATTTTAATAAAATATTGATACAATAGGAGTAGTATACTACTACTAGGCCAACTACTATACTTCTACAACTACTACTACTGTGACTACAGTTACTACTTCTTCTAGAAGTACCTGCAGTTCAACGACTATTTAACTTGTTACTAGTAGCTTACTATAACTATACAATGCTATGCTATACATTCTACTATAAGAATTATTACTAATAAAATAATAAATACAACAACATGTAATTATAAAAAGACATACAGGTCAACAAGTTAATCTCTACACACGCATGTTTGCAGAGCTTTAGCTGAGCAAAGGCTTTACTTTTTAATCTGTACTCAAAATATACATACAGATATACAACAAAAGGAAAAAGAAATTAAATAAAGAATATATTTGAGTGCTCGTGGGATGAGGCGTAAAATAAAACATACAATGTGTATATAAAATATTCAGTTTGTTGAAAGCTGTTCAAAGCATGGTGTCCTACTAGTGAATTTACATTTAGGATTCATATAATTATATTAGTCAGATTAATCATATAAACAATGTGGTTGTCTTTCTGTGTCCAATCTTCGAGGAAACTTAAAAACACAAAGTCGTTTACTAATTAATTCTCATTTGTTTTTAATGATCAGTGTCCGATTCAATCTAAATGGAGGATAAATGACATGTAAGCGTGTTTTATTTTGAAAACGACAAATCCCGGAAATGCTGTTGTGTTTACAGCCTCATGAAGCCGTCGGTGATATCGATGCAGTGCTCATGGTGGAGAGACTGACACAGTCCGTGGTTCCTCATGAGAGCACCGTCAACATCTGGTCCAGCCTCAGACTGTCGTTAATAACCAGCACAGAGCTTCACATGTTCGAGTCCCCTTAAACTGCGGTCGGACAGGACAGGGTGCAGGGTGAGTACCGCCGGACCGTCATGTTTGCACCGGTATTAATTACCAACCTGTTTATCTGGTAATCTGGTTCATAAATACTCCACCGTGTCCTCCTGCAGGGTCTCCTTGTCGAACACAACACTGAGCAGCTCTTGCTGAATTTTAATGTAAACTGGGTGAATTCTGCTCATCTGGGACATTCTTTGCCCAATTTTGACTTGTGCGATTTATTCTGATATCTGTTTTACACATGAGATCAACATATTATACCTTTCTGTAATCCAGCAGAGGTTTTCTAACCACACCAGCAGAAAGAATGGAGACATCCCAGGGGGAGACAAAGTAGAAAATGCTGCCTGAATTTGATAATCTGGGACAGGTTGCTTTGTAATCTGGGACACTTGTATACATCTTTCATGCTTTTTGCATGACAAGCTCAATATGACCAATTTTCAAAAAGCCATATTTAAAAATGACAGACAGCTGACCTACACAATGTATATTATTCAAAGAAATGTCATGAATTCATTTTGACTTATGAAAGTCATATTTATTCATAAAGGACCCTAGCCTAAATAAAGAAACTAAACATTCTATTAAAGGTATATCACATTAAAAAAAAAATCTATAAAATTTCAATCAAAAGCAAGATAAAATAACAATAACACATTTGGTAATTCATTATTGGGTTAGGGGTAAAAAAAATGGGAGGAGAAAAATGTGTTTACTTTTGGTTTTGTCCAGGTGTGTGTATCTGGAGACAAACTCCCACAGAGACACAGCTTATGACAGGAAACACTAATTTAGTGACCAACCTTCCACAATAAGGCAACTAAATAAAATAGCTCACATAAATTACATTTAAATAGATAAACGTTACACTATAAMAACTAACTGGATAAAGTTGATGATAATAATAAATATTTTAGTTCATAAGATATATTATTAGCTATCTATCAGCTATATATTGCTTGTTGTGAGTCTTTTTTCTTCTATAGTATCGATAATCGTGAAAACCGTGAAGCCGTGATATTTCCTCGGACGATCATGGCACCAAAATGTCATATCGTGACATCCCTAGTTTGTGTCTTTTTCCTTCCTTAGTATCAATAATAAAGTGTAGAATATCGTGAAACCGTGATATTTCCTCTGACAATTATCGTTGCACCAAAATGTCATATTGTGACATCCCTAGGACAGACTCTTCTGTGCTCTTTGAATCATCACCTAATAAGCTAACTGAGTATGTGCTATAACTAACCAGACAATCATATTAACAGACAGGGACAGACAGTATTTACCATTAACACCTGTCTGACAATATGTTACATCTAGTCCATAAATGTATATTTCCACCATTTTGAGAACTTAAATGACTGTCCCCGATTACCCAAAGCATGGTGTCCCACTTTATCAATCGTGTTTGATAAAGTGGGACAACCTGGAGAAAAAAACCCTGAAACACATTTTCCACAACTTGTGTAGCTTGAGAACACCACAAACATAATTTGATAACAATAAGGAACATTGCCTTATTTATGACAGATTTATATCCTTCACATTAATCTTATGTCATGGACCTTATCATGCAATTCCAAGAGGGGGCCATCTGAATGACACTTGCCCCACCCCTTTCTGTGACATCACCACTATGAAGTCATGTGATTTCACTCACATGATATCCGTGCTAAAGTCCTGTTGACTATAGATTTAGTTAGAACAGAAAATAAACAGACTGAAGCTGAGTTGTCTAATATTAGCCAATGTCCCAGATTACCACCCTATATCCTTTAAAATGGTAAATATAGCCATTTTAACATTAGGTTTTATTTCGCCTCATGCTGGCGCCAGTGAGACCACTATAAGTTTATGGTATATGGCTCATTGGACTCGCATATTTAATACCAGACTTTATCTATCTGTTGTTGTTTCAATGGATTAGCCATTAAAGGCAAGAAAAGCTTGTAGCATTGTTAAGGTCTGCTCAAAGATCATTGGAGTCAAGAGACGTATGTTCACTCTGGGAGAATCAGGTGAAAAAGAAGGGAAGAATATTATCAGCCAACCTGATCATGTTTTGTCTCATGAGTTCACAGTGATACCTTTAAGATAATTATGTACCTCCGAGGAGAACTAACCTCCAAATCTTTCATTCCTTCTGCTATCATGCTACTAAACTCAGACAGTAGTTATTTTAAATGAGATATTTTATGACTGTGCCTTTTACATGATAACACATGTAACAAATGTCCTTAATTATTGTCTTTTTATTGCAATTTATTTTACATCCTTGAAGTTCACAGAAAAATGAAAATGCACTCATTATCTACTCACCACTATGCCAATGGGGGGGTGGGTGAAGTGTTTGAGTCCACAAAACACTTTTGGAGTCAGGGGTAAACAGTGTAGCAGCCCAATACAATACAATTGAAGTAGCTGGGGACTGATTATTTAAACAGAAAAAAATTGATATGTCATCGGCAGAGATGAACTTAAACAAGAATGAGGTGAAAATTCTTTGTCACCTCTTTAGGATTTTTAAAAATAATATTTTATMAAAAAAGTTAAGAGTGATGTTTATATTGATATATTTTTTCTTACATTCCTTGTCATGTGCCACCAAAAAAAAAAGCAAGATGCTTTATCTTACAGTCCAAACTATTAAACAGAAATTAAGTTTTGGTTTTTATGAACTATTTTCAGACCATTTTCAACTCTTAAGATTTAGTGATATGTGCAGAAAATTAAACTGTTGAAAAAAATGCTAGTTCCTCCATCTTGAGTCACATTCTCCCGCCTTTCCTTGTCAGGTGATTGACATGTTGCCTGTGGTGGTGGTCCATGGAGGGGCGGGTCATATCCCAAAGGAGCGGTCGGAGAGGTCCACTTCAGGGGTGTGCTCAGCAGTCCGAGCAGGGTACGCCATCCTCCGGGGAGGGGGCAGCAGCATGGATGCAGTGGTGGAGGCTGTGTCCCAGCTGGAGAATAATCCCTCCTTCAATGCAGGTAATGTAAAAACACAACACAGGTGTACATAAATAACTATTCCCATGATGATGTCACCAGCAGACACGTTGTTCAACAGATTCAATTACTTTTATCACAAACCACTCAAACTCAGAGAGATGACAATCTATTTATTTTGACCAATAAATGACCAAGATGTGTTGTGGTGCTAGCAAAGCTAAAGAAAAATCAGTGTTGATATGTTGTTTGGGTTAGGGTTAGACTCAGCTGAACACCCTCACCTCCCCCTCCCCTTCCAAACATGAAAAAGAACCTGTGGTAGCCTTTATTGTCATAAAAACTCAAAAGGTGTTTAGTTTGTCCAGTCTGGCCTCCGTAGAGAGGGTCCCCTCCATGTAAATATAAAGTATTTAAATATAAAGGGCCTTTTCTGGGGTAAAGAAAACTACAGTTCATATAATTTAGATGAAATGAACTCGTGAAAACATCATGAGGATTATTCTCCATTAAATTTCTGCCAATAGATCCCTTTCACCTAAATCTTACACACTGGACCTTTAATCAGACATTGGACAATAATGCATGTGTCATGTTTGGTTTTGCTCGTCAAGAATCTTTGCATATGCACAACTACAACAACTTGTAGATCTCAGTTCAGTAGGTATCATATTGCACAACTTATATTAATAAATTATTTTTTGTTTAAAGGTTCAGTATGTAGAATTGAGTCATATTTAGTATTGAATATTGCAACCAAATGAATATTTCTCACATCCTTTCAAGTGGTACCCAGGTATATTTCTAACATGTGAAGGTTCCTCTATAGAGCCAGTGTTTGGTTTATCCATTGTGGGCTACATTTGTAAAAACATGGCAGTGCAACATGGCAAGCTCCACGCTTCTAATGCAAATAGAGAGGTTCACTCTAAGGTAATGATAACACAGTGGCTCGTAGTTTCAGGTGATTGTACACTTATGAAAACATAACTATGAATATCCAGTTTCAATTCTGCGAATAGGTCTGCCCACATCCTATAAGACAGACCTTTAATGTGGAGGATAGAGGTGGATAAAGAGTTCAGTGGTCACTGATGCCACTAATCAAGATTGAGGTTATCAAGATTCATACATGTAAAGTGCAAGATACAGAAATTCTCATTAAGGAAACATATGAGTCAAATCCAAAACCTGAAGAAGCCTGCAGCATCCTCTTCACATTACTGCCAGTGTATCAGACCAAACCTGGCCGTTCAGGCAAAGTTTAAACAAACAACAACATGCAACTATTTTACCTTCAAATATCAACAAAATCATTATGATGGCACACTGACTTTTAATAAGGTAAATGTTTCATTTAACATTTCTTTTCCACTCTCCAATCCCCTGTTCTTCCTCTATATCATTTTGTGGAGTGGGAACCATGTCAAATGAGAAGTGCGTCACTGAATGATGGCCAGTGGCTTAAACTGGTGCAACCAGGTCCAACGAGTTCAGGAATTAAACTGTAGTGTAGATCAGTTTGTGATAATTTGACATCATTATTAAGTTTATTATGTTTATTTTTGATGATTAGCAAGGGAATTTGAAATCATAAAGAATTCTAAAAAGAGTTTTCTGTATTTTAAGAGTAGCAGCTCTTCTGATTTGGAAAGTCAGGGATCATGCTTCATTCAATCAGTGGGACTACGTAGTCAGAGCTTCAGTCAAGATCATAGGGTCAAGACATTGATGGACTGTCTTTACTGTACATAAAATAACTTTTACACTCAGAGGTAAACCGAATTAAATACCACTGATGGCATGGAGAGGAGCATGCATTTCCTGTTCTTGATAATGTTGAGTAAAAATAAGCTCACCTTGGTGAAGCCAGTGTTGACTCTGCTGTTACATTAAGGAATGAAAAGTAGTAGCTCCACTCTGACCAAACGTCACCTCCTCACAAAAAAAACCTTTATCCCCGAGAGGCAAGACACCAAAGAGTTTCTTACATCATCTTTCAGGGTGTGGCTCAGTGCTGAACGTCAAAGGGGAGGTAGAGATGGATGCTATCGTGATGGATGGGAAGACACTGGGAAGTGGTGCAGTCTCTGCTGTACGCAACATAGCCAACCCTGTTCAGCTAGCACGACTGGTTATGGACAAGGTGTGTACACATGCTATATCTAATCAATGGGTCAGGTTGTACTCACATGAAATGTAAATATAAAAATTGTACAACATGTGTGTATATGTACTGTATCTACTCATTAATTTAATAATTGTGCATAAGCATGACTATCTTTACAAACCTTATATAACTCCTACATTCTGCATTTAATCTGAAGATCCAAACTGAGAGTAGATGCAGGTGTCTATGTGTGTAGCTTCAAAATGATAAACACAGAGCTACGTCTCAGCTTTGCTAATATTAATAATGTTTTAAGGTTTTACAGCAAATTCAAGAAATTATGTCTCCAGATTGAAATAATGTAGAACCATATTTATGACTGCTGTGTAGTTGCTCTGGTTTTCACACGTAAAGAGGCTTTGTTGTAGTTAAGTGAAGCATTTTATAGATGTGCACTTTGTTCTGTGTCAGACCAGCCACGCGTGTCTGACAGCAGAGGGCGCCAGTCAGTTCGCCCGTGCCATGGGTGTCCCTGAGGTCCCCCTGGAGTCCCTCATCACAGAGTACTCCCGTATGCGCTGGAAAAAGAACTTGGCTCCCGATGCCAACCCTGTGGAGAGCCAAATGTGAGACATGACATGACTTTGAATTATTAGCACACATTTCAGTAGTAGAAGTACCCAGAGTCCTTGCAGTTAGAACCTGAAGTACAACTTTTGTTTATTTTGACCATAGTTTTTCCACAGGAAAAAAACATTTCACAAATCCAAAGATTCAGAGAGACATTTTGAAATACTCCTGCTGTTTAATCAACTTCTCGTTGGCGTTGATGCATTTTTTATATTCTGTATGTTCAAAACACTCAAATACTGTAGTTCTTTCCATTTGGGGGTAGCACAGTGGTTTTCCGGCTTAGTTTAGTTGGCTTCTTCCCATAGTCCAATGACATGCAGGTTATTTGGTGACTCTAAATTGCCCTTAGGTGTGAGTGTGTATCCTGGTGTCAGCCCTGTGACTGATGGGCGACAAGTCAAGGTGCCTAATTCCCATTGCCAGCTGGGATCGGCTCCAGCCCCCCAGCGACTCTCAGGTTTAAGTGGCTGGATGGATGCTTTCCATTTGGCTACGGTGGCTCCTTATGTCCCTCAATCAGGCCTAATAAGCTGCTTTTAGAAATGCACTGAACTCCAGAGAACCTCCGGACTTTCTCCGCAGGGGCTGTATTTGTTAGAGCCTCCAGAGTTTCTTTGGTCTTTCTCCAGCTGGCTCCCGAGTATGGAGTCTGCAGAAAATGCTGATGTGAGAACAGAGCAGTTGGGGGGTGGATGACGTATCTAACAGATGCAAAAAAGAAAAAAACAATACAAATATCTCAGTAAGAAAAGCTTCGCCACACACGCGGAAGACACAGATGAAGATGTCAATAGAGTTTTTGGTGACACAAAAACACATGATATCCATGTTGTGACAGTGCGAAAGGCAAAATCCAGAGAAAGTCCGGATCCTATTCTCATTTTGCTGAGACAGCAATCAGATCAGCTGACCAATCACTGAACAGTTCTCATTTCAAAGCACTGTCTGGTTTAAAAAAAAAGCCTTGGAGTATGTTTTTGTAATGCAGTAAGCATATGGATGGTTCCTTTTTTGTTGTTGTGGCTCTGGGTCATCATTAGAAGACACTGTGAACCACTGAGTGTCCCAGCTGTCCACAGCTGTGTCAGCTTCAAAAGAGAAGGACACAAACTTCTCACAGTCATTGTTAAAGCCTGCAGTCAGTGAGGACTGGATACTCAGAAGAAAGATTGAATTAGTCTTCCTTTGACCTGGCTTTAGCTGGTTATTGTAGAAACGTACTTATCAGTGTTTTAACATTCGTCCTAAATACGTGTGTGAACGCACCCAAATGTGTCCTCAGTGTGTCCTGAGATCCATCCTATCGCTAGCACCCTGTTTTCACACAGCTCTCTGTCATTATGTGAGTCAACCAGAAGTGTATTCATTCCTATTGGAACCTCTGTGGTCTCTTGTGAAACTCCTTTCCTCTGGAATTTTCCATGTACAATGAAAAAATGTCACTTTTGCGGTGGATTTCGGACGGACTGTATGCACCTTGTCACAGGAAGTCAGCATAAGACTATTTAGCTAAGAGGCTTTTTCATTCAGTTGGGTTGGTGGACGTTCGGAGGTGGTTTAGGACGCATGTGGCTACATTTTTTCGCTGTATAAACACAAATGCAACCTGGTCCACATGAAGGACTGTCTACTCATCTAATGTCATCTGAGCCTCTACAGTTTCACAATGAATATAAAGTATTTTTCCACTTCCCAATGACCATATGTTGATTCTTTTTTAGCCATTGCCACAAAATCAACACTGATCAACACATAATTATTTCTATTTTGATTTTGATAAATGGGTCAAATTTTATTCCATAGAAGAGCTGCCTGCAGCTCATTGATTCACTCAGCCCCTCCAGACTCCTCAGACACATCTGTATTGTCATTAAAAACAACATCGCCTGGTCAGAGACGACGTACTGATTCATTTTAATATAGAGCAGAGAAGTGGGACCCGATCACAAATTGTCACAGGAGACACATTCAGGACACATTTGAATGTGAAGAGATTCACTTAGTGCTGTCCACTTGTGACGGAATCTCTCAGGACTAATACTAGGTCTGAATAGGACCTTCAGTGTTCATTAGAATCACATGAAGTAAGTCAAATGCGTTCTGCTTTTCCTTGATGTTTCTTTGTGCAGGGGGAAGATGGGCACAGTCGGAGCTGTGGCAGTGGATAGCGAGGGAAACATAGCCTGTGCAACATCCACCGGTGGAATGCTGAACAAGATGGAGGGAAGGGTGGGCGACACACCCTGCATAGGTCAGACTGCACACGTCGAGCTTGGTAGTTTAGACCATTTAATGAAACATGACTGGAGAAACAGTCAGAGCCCTGTCTTCAGCAGTCTCTTGGCCTATGACCAGTCCGAGTTTGTAATGTGTAGTCAGTCAGTAAAAGAAGTGCACTTGGTTAATAAATGACTGACTTTTGTTTTCTCTAACAACAGACTATAAACTGTGCTTACACATACTGTGCAATACGATACAACCAGTGTTATGCTGACCAGTTCATATTCATCATGTCAGATGAAAACCGGCTCATACCAATGACCAAATGTTGCACGTACTTTGAGGGAATGAGGGTCTGAAATGATCTCAGGATTGTTTTTATTTTCTTAAGTTCAGTAAGCAGCAGCCAGTGGATTTTGGCCATGTCAGCCCCCTGCAATCTGTCAAATCAGTCAGTGAATGATTAAACTGTCATGAGTCAGTGGACGGATCACAGCCTCGCTCTGAAATACACGTCTGCAGTGACCAATGAAGCCTCTCCGGTCAAAACTGTTCAATAACATGTTGAAGCATCAGTGTAATGTGAAAGAAGTCGTCATTTTCATACAAGACACAAACATTTTAAAGCAGTTTGCTTGTCATTGGTTGCCTCTGGAGACTGGAATATTTATAGATATAAATTCTTCATCTTTTTATGATTGATACACATTAGATTAGTACGCCCTGGTCAGGTTGCCAATCTATTCTACACTTCATCATTCATGATGTGTTAAAATGTTGGTCAAATATTACTGCTACAGCTCGACCCAGTGGCTGAATGATAAAGGTGCATACTCCATGAGCACATACTTATGGTGCATACACTTTGAGCTGCTGGTTCCTGGTGAAACTCCATTCACTGTCTGTCTTCCACCTTCTCTCACCCTGTTTGTTTTCTATCTTTGACAGTGATATCAAATAAAGGCACAAATTCCGACCAAAAATCCTAAAAAACAAACAAGCAAATGTACTCGTCTCCTATATGGTGAAACTGGGAAACAGCAGAAGTTTTGAAAATTAGAATAATTAGCCACGGTCAAAGTTGACTGTTTTAGTAAAGCTTTATTGTTCTAATCAACATAATTTTTGACAAAAATATATATATTTCTATCAATATTCAGATAACCCTTTTGTACACTACCCTATGAGCTAACTGGTAAGAATAGTTGAGTATTTAGCAATTTAAGAGACAAATATACATTATTCTTCAGTCGGTGGAGAACAAAACAGAGAGTGACTATTGGACTTGCATTAATCAAATGGCAATAAAACAATATTAATGTTATCCCAAAATGATCACTGAAGTGTTAACACTGTAGGTCACTGTTGTATTTATAGCTTGTTTCTGCTGCACCAAACTGGTTTAATTATGTTTTCAATATTCACACATTTACTTACATGTCTTCACTGACTTGTTTTTCCCAATTCACGTTTCAAAGTGACTTTTCCTCAAAAGTTAAATAAACATCTGGATGTTGGATGAACATTCACTGGTGAAATAACGTGATGTATTGTGTTTGTTAGGCTCTGGGGGTTATGCTGACAACCAGACGGGAGCAGTGTCAACAACGGGCCACGGAGAAACCATCATGAAAGTTACTCTGGCAAGACTCATCCTGTTCCACATGGAACAAGGTGATGCACACACACACACACACACACACACACACACTGCCATCATACGGTAGTGATGTCACTTTGTTGTGTGGAGCTGTAGTATCATCCATACACTCGCCCAACCACTTGCAATTCAATCTTAGCTGTCAATCATGACATCTCACCCAACTACCAAAAGCATAAACTAAATAAAACCAAACTTAAATGCCTAAAAATATCAGAGTGATAAGAACTGCCTAAAACATTTGATGTGTAATTGGAATTTATTTAGCGTGGTCCATGTGTCATCTGTTAACATAGGGGAAGCAGGGTTTATGACCTATGCTGCAGCCAGCCACCGGGGGGAGCAAAATGATTTTGCTTCACTTGTCGTCCATTTTTATATGTAGTTACTGACCAAACTTAGAGTTTGTCCGCAATGATCAACATGATTTGATGGTTGGTATGAGATTTGATGTCCTGATGGAATTTTCCCTCTGTCTGTAATTCAGTGGAACAAACAGGGTCCTATGTTAAACCACAGTGAACATGATGCAGCTGCTCGCAGGCCCACAGACCACTGTGACCACTGACACCTTGATAAACATTTCATCCTGGTTAACAACCTCACTTCCTCTCTCCGTTCTCAGGTCAGTCAGTGGAGGCCGCTAGTGACTTGGGCCTGGCCTACATGAAGACCAGAGTGGGTGGTCTGGGTGGGGTGGTGACTGTGGACCCCCAGGGCAACTGGGCCGCCCGCTTCTCCAGCCTGCAAATGGCCTGGGCTGCAGCTCAGAAAGACACCCTGCACTATGGCCTGTACACCGGGGAACACTTTACGCAGAGCATCGACAATCCACAGTGACACAAAAATACAACACGTTGGTTTTAGCATTTTCTAAATCCTTGTGTTTATTGACAAAAATAAATCATTTAGATTAATGCTCATGTAAATAATTAGGTTAGGTTTACTGATAAACAGCGGTATTGATTATAACTACACTCCACTTACCTCACATATGGATACATGTAAAGTGAGTAGTGAGAACACAGTTATTTCTGTTGATTGGTTAGTAGAACTTATTGAAGAAACATGCAGAGAAACTGGTGAAGTTATCTACAGACTCTCACCTGATCATTAAAACAGACATCGACAGGAATGTATGGAAACTCATGAGACTTCCAGATAAAGTTAGATGATCATCTGTATGTAAAGATGGACGACATGTGTCCACTTCCTCCAACTATTCAGAAATGAACAAACTTATCAGTCTGCTGTGGAGCTCACTGAACTGGAGCAGGAGCTGTGTCACACCGGAACTACTTTGTCACAAACTCAGGTGATGGATAATCCAACTTCAAGGCTAACATCTAGCTAATGTAAAGCTGTAATCATAAAGGCACTTTTTAATGAAGACTGATTTGTGATCTGTGCAGAAGGAAGTTAGAGGTTTACTTGTTTGTGTGTCTTTTTGCATCTTTGGTTAAAATGTGAATTTTATTCAAATATGATGGTATGATTGACTGGCGTTATTGATTTAGCAAAATATACATTTTCACATGGAAAGTAATTTCATGTCAAACATGTAATTATTAGAATTGGGGCTAATATAATCAACAGAAACAGAATATAAGCTTTTTGTGAATTTCTCAGTTGATTGTATTTAACATGAAGGGCCAGTTTTACTACTGGGAAACTTAACATAATAACGTATACAAATGTTCATCTTTATTTTAAGTATTGAAGTTACTGCTACACTTTGTATTTCCCAGAGAACAGGTAAAGCTCTGTGTTGTCTCAGAGGATTGTTCTGCAGTAGTAGTGTGAGGTGAAACATCATCTCTACATAGCTGAGCCAGTATTTGTGAAGTGCTGCTGATCACATTGTGTGTCTCGTGCTTCATTTTCCCATGAAGTCTGATGTGCAAGGCCCTGAGTGCATGTGTCACCTCTTTGCAGACACTAGATGGTGCTGTTTCAATACAGTTGCTGCTGCTGAGAATAAAGGGACCAACAAAGTCGACAGCCGGTTGCTTTTGTTGTAGCATCAGTCAAAGTCAGGAGCTGTGATGAGTGAAGCCTGAAGCGTCTCACATTAACACTTGTTTTCCTCTGTGTGATGGATTCCTGCTGTATTGTGATGTTGATAAACATGCGAGCTAGTTCACATGAGGATTTTTGAATCATATTTCAAAGTAGACAGCACACAGCATGAGTTCCTCTCTGAAATGAAGGCCTACAAATTGTCTTCCTCCTCTGACAGAGTGTCTTTTATAAGACTGTGCCCTGCCCTTAATGTGAACATGTACTGTATTATACTATATGTGTTGGTTGTGTATTTTTAATAATATTTAATAATATTAATAAATTAATAATAAAGATATTTGTATAATATTTATCACAAACCTTTACCAAGAAAAGTGAATTAAGGCAAATTTGATCAACCTGGTACTGTTGCGTGAATATCAGAAGTTCATACAAATAAACAGTAGGTGGCGCTAATTCTTCAGTCAAGTGTCATTACACCAGGCCAGATACCATTCTGCCATATACAGACACTGGAGAAACCTTCCATCATAAAGTTTACACACACACACACACACACACACACACGAAGAACTATGAGATCCACTACAGTAGAGATCTTAATCGTCCAACGGGATAATTCTGTACATATGAATCCAATTGTTCCCTATTGGAAAAAAGAAAATATGCTTTAGTGTTTGTTTCACATTGCTTAGAACACCAGGCCTGTCTGAGTATCACAAGTGGTGAGTGAAGAGAGACAGTTACTGATTAGAAAGTGTACAAGCAGCTTCAGAACATTGCAAATAGATCAATCTACAACTGATACTTCTCATCGATAACACTTTCTTGTAGTTTCAATTGTGTCCTGATTCTACTTGTTGCTAACCTGGTTCACTTTTAAGATCATAGTCATATATCTTTTATTCAATCAACCTTTTATCTTGTCTCTTCCTTAGGATTCCACAAACACAAGGTCCCAGTAAAACAACTGAACATACAAAGCCCAGTGATCGGGACCAGTCAACAGAAATCTGTGCTTTCTCATCTGTTCTCCACCACTTCCAACAGATCAGTGAAATTTGACCCACAGTCCCTCTCTCCTCCGCTTCCTTTGTCTCTCCTCTGCCGTGTTTGCATTTTCATGTATACAAAACACACATTTACTCAGACGCGCAAACACTGCCTCTCTTGACCCCCACTCATTCCCTCACTAATGCAAATGCTATTTTACAAATGCTCTGTATACACAAGGAAGTAGTCTTCCTTATCCTGTCTATTAGGTGGAATTAGATTGAATTCATTTTCACTTTCTGACTCTGCCGCCAGAGAAGAGCCTAATGATCTCCTCTCGTGCCGCTGCTGCTGCTCACATGGTGCTGTCTAATGCATACACACTGTCTGAGGAAGGCAATAAATGCTTTCATCCCTGACCATTGTGTGTTTCATACCCCATTTGCCCATGACATCTGTGTGTTGAAGTTCACTGATGTGTGTGATTAAGCCTTAACTGTCGATTTTTATTGATATCGATTAACTTTGTAGACTTTCTCGAGGGCACTTTTTTTTATATATATATTACTGTAACTGCAATATGCCGAACACAAATGGTCCAGGACATATGAAACAGATTTTCCTTCTCTCTTAGACAGTTTAATAAATGTTCACATGACAATAGAAAGACAGTTTTTTTTAAAACAATGAAAGGTTAGTAAATTGTTGAGGATAGATAGATCCGGTTAGACATTCATACTAACTGAACAGGGCCAGTGTTTGAAAAAAACAAACAAACAAACTGGTAAGACTACAATTTCACTTGATTATGTGAAAACACGTCACTTGATATCATCCAACTCTGCAGTCGCCCTCAGCACTAATGAGTGTTTTAGTTTTACATTTGCAGCTTTACTGTCATGATTCACTCTCACTACTCACATCTACATGGTGCACTATTTATCAGCTGAAGAGCCTGATTAGTCTTTTGGGGGATTAGGTGGAGACCAAAACTGAGTTAAAAGACGAGTGATTATTGGATGTATACTGTCAACTGTTAGCTAACATGCTCACTACATCAACTTTTGAGGTTTGTCAGTCGGCCAATAATATTTAGCCAGTGTGACCCTTCACAGACATATCAGTCTTAACATCTTGTTTGCCGATACTTTTCATAATTAACAATGCAGAAAAGATTTACATTGTACATAAAAATGTTTGTTTTCTATATTATTTTCAAGTTGTAGGTATTTGGTTGCTTTTATTTATAAGTATGTATCATAGTTTATGGTTAAACTGTAAAATATCAACCTTAATTTAATGTCTTAGGAATCATTGCCAACTTTTTGTACGAATCTCTATCGGCCAATATTGAAAATTAGTATCAGAAATGTTTGACTTCTTAATATCTGCATCAGCATCGGGCTGTATTTTTCCACCTTTTTAGGTAAACGTGGCTAAAACTGTGGGTTGCTGATGCTGACTTATGTTTGCATGAAACTGCAGCCTAACACTCCTGCAGTGAAGGTTAGAATGTTCATGTTAAACAGTTTGTAGGAGGGGGGGGGCTGGGAGAGCACCTTCACCTGCACCACAGGATCAATCAGTGCAGGTGAGAGCTGTTAGCTGATTGATCCTCAGGTTTAAAAGGCAGCGGCTGAGCTGCCTCAAAAAGACAGTCAGGGAGAGACACTCAGGACTGACACACAGGACACTTTTGACTTGCGTCTGCTGTAGTTGTGTTTGAATAGCACCATATTCATCTCTGGCTGTGTGTGGGAGACCCTGGTGGCATGGTTGACTGTCACACAGTTTTTAAGAGGTTTCCATTTACAGGTTCAATGTGTAGAATTGAGTGATATCTAGTGTTGAAGCTGCATGTTGCAGCTGAACACCCCTCACCTCACCCTCTCCTTCCAAACATGAAAAAGAACCTGTGGTAGCTTTAATTGTCATTTTAATGGATTATACTGTGACTATTTTCAGTTTGCACTTACTGATATAACATATTTCAGACAGAGTAATAAGGTGTTTAGTTTGTCCAGTTTGGATGACTGTTAAAAACATGACAGCCTCCGTAGAGAGGACTTGCTCCTGATGCAAATATAAAGTTTTTAAATATAAAGGGCTCGTTTTATGGTAAAGAAAACAACAATTCATTCAATTTAGATGATGCAAACTAGTGAAAACATCACTAGGATCATTTTATATTACATTTCTGCCAATAGTTCCCTTTCACCTAAATCTTACACACTGGACCTTCAAAGGACACGGAGATTGAAAAGCATCTGTTTCAGCTAAACCCTATTTCCTAAATCTAGTCCCACCTACAAACCTTACAACTGGATTTCTTACAGCAGTCATGACTGACAACAGTGATCATGGGTCTGTTTCCCTCAGGTGTGCATGAGCATGCACCGTACCAAGGCTCTGGCACTCACACACCAGAATGAAATACAAACAGCATTAATGGTGTTAGCTGTGTCACATGAGAAACATTTCTCCGTCCAATCCCAAATTCTGCACTTTTGAAAAGCCAGCTCTTCTTTGTGTGCAAGGCCTTAGGACTTTTTGTCCTGATGGTGCCTCAAATATGATTCATCCTCGAGGGAACATGTGCAAAAAATTAAAATTAATCCAGCGGTTTTTGAGCTCATCTGCATAAAATGTCATGGCAATCAAAGTGGTGGACTGACTGACCAAGAGACTGACGTTGACACGCCAACCTACTTAAGTTTTTGCATGTTATTGCTACACATTGTTTTGCGTGTCAAACAGCATTGAACAACACGTAAAAGCTTTAAATGCGTGGTGATAACAAGGGCAATGCGCTAAAAGTTGAAACAGAAACAGGGACAACAATAAAGAGTCTTTAATAGTGAAAGAAGCAACAATGGCAGAGTGGCCTCTGGCGCATTAGCATGTTGAGGCTGCATGTGCATGACTTATGGTGAGCACTGTGTGTACAGCAGCCATTTGTCCAGTTATGGTTGGACGATGATTTCCTTTAATATTTGGATCCAACTGTCTTTACTGTAAAGTGGGGGTGGGATATCATCTGCACACAGCTCATCCCGCCACTGCTTTGAGTGTCAACTCTCTCGCCTGAACCCCACATCCTTATGGTGCTTTGAGTATAAACACTTATACTTCAGCATAGAGGTATTTTATCTGCCTCCAGATCCTGATGCCAGTAGATTTCTGCGCTGGTTTGTACCCTAAACATGACAATAATAAGGGTGGTGGAAAAAAGCAAACGACAAAAAATGCGCACAGCCATTTCAGGTTGAAAGCATGAGATGTGCTGGTGTGTTCCTCTAATACACAATATCCCTGAGAGAGGAGTTCATGCTTGTTGGTCAGGGGTGAGTTGGTTCGTGAAGTGAGGACATATTGGGCCGGCTCTCTCTTCTTCAAGGGGCCAGTTCAGGGATAGGATTTGGGCTTGTCCAGGGTAACCCAGACAGCACACAGTGTTTGCACAAAGGCATCCTAACCCTGAAGGCTGAAAGTGGCAAACTGGTTCTTTGTTAACTTATATTAGAGGCAACAGTTTATTCTGGACTAAATGATGGACTCAAACATTTGGCCTAACAGTGGAACACAGAGTTATGGCTCTGTTGTGACTGGGTGTTCTTCTATAGTACATAAATATTTAACTACATATGTGTTATTGTTTTTTAGTTCATTGTTGTTCTTTGTACCATTACATACTGGTGCAATTGCATTACAAGAAAAAAGTTGTACATTTACGAGAATTATTAATTATTAATTATTAATATGTGTTATATTCAGAAGAAGTTGCATTAAAATGAAGATATATAATTCCATGTTTTGGATTATCATCACCAAATTATCATCAATGTCAGGATTTTGAAGAGATTGTGGAGGAAACAGTGTCTGTTCTGAAGAAAATAATGATAAATTGCCCTTAGTACATTTAGTCAAGTACAAATTAGTACAAAAGTATATTTACTGTATTGACACCTTTAGTGACTGGTTACATACACAATGATGTAATTTCAGAATAAAACATGATGCAGTAACCTAAACAAATGTTGTTGTAGTTTCATTTTTCTTCCACCTTGAACAGCTACAGTAGCTTAAATAAGATTAATGAGTTTGCATCATCAAATACAATACTATAATATTCACAGATAGTCTGCATTGACCACCTGTACTTACCTAATGTACGCGTACTTGCACTATCATGATACTTTTACGCACCCTTTTTTAGGAGCTGTTTGTTGTCACTTTTACTTTCGCAAAATATGTGAATACTTCCTCTTTCTTTTATCTTCCCCCTGATGTTTTCATGTTATGGCTCCATGGTAACCGTGTTTAAAAATGCCACT